GTGAGCATCCAATAAGTAAGATCTGTGTAGTCTTACCATCTGGACAGAAACTACAATCAGGTGAATCAGTATAGTGCCTGGAAATGGCCTTTGTTTCTTACACCATACCCTCCAAACTCCCTTTGTAGATGGATCATTCCTGCTATATTAATCTATAGGTATGGGAATGGGGTCTTACAAATGTCTTCAGTGCAAAAACACACCAGACGTCTTCATGACCAACTAGTGGTTGACTGGACCGTTTTATTTTTTCCAGCACCTTTCTGTATGGCATGGTGGCTTCTAGGCAGCAGCTTGCTACATGGGCATGGCTTTTAATAATAAGGAACAGACAGTCAAAGACCAGTGAGTACATCCCTAGCCTTCATCTCATCCAGATATACAACACATGGGATGTGACAAGTTTTAGGACAAGTGGGATTTACACAGCCAGAGATGGGACTCAAGATAATACGGTACGCAGTATTATTACTGTAACAGAAATATGTCAAATAAATTGTAAGGTCACTCAGTTGGAACCAGTTGATTATATTCTAAAATGATTTTTTTCTTGTTTTGAAAAATAAGTGAATGATATGATTATATGGTACTTTTATATTGTATTTTTCCAGGACTTAGGCCCACTTTCAGGAGGTCCAAGCCCAACATTGCTTGATTGTCTTTTAAGCAGAGGAGGAAGTTACATATGGAGAATTCTTGAGATTTTCAGGAGAGGTTGCAGGTAATAATTAGATAGTTTTTCATTTTAAATTGACAAAAACCTTGTGTTGGTGTTATAAATTTAATTTTTTTTGTTTCACATTGTCAGTAAATAATTGAAATGAGTTGTTTCTGTAGAACACAGACAGTGTAGGTTGCCCTCTAAGGACCCATTCCCAATGAAACTACTGTTCTATGTAGATAGATCCAGCTCCACGGGGACTCTTGCTGAATGCAATCAGACTAACATGGCTCATAATAGTGGGCAAGTCTACTTTTAAGTTGGGTTTGTTTTTGGAAAAATTACCAACTGCTGCTTCTTTATTGTAGAAGTTTCTTGTTGAGGTTTGACAATGATAATAGAGAGCTACTTATTTTGGGAACAAATTATTAATGAATCACATTTTTTCCTTTTCAGCTGGCAGAAGAAAAGGGATTAGTATAATCAAATGTTATGGCCTTCATCACTGGACTGATGGACATTTAATTTCTGGGATTTCAGTACCAACCAAAAGTCACATTCTCTTTTACTGCAGACGCTTTTATGCATGCGCACAGAAACTGGTATTATGTGCATGTGCACTGAACTTACGATTGCCCTTGCAAGAAACATCACAAGAACAACTATTTGAGTTGTGGGACTTAGCTTTGCTGTCATCACACATATTTATATGTTATAGAAATGTCACACACTGAGTGTGTTGTTAGTGTAGTTTATCTGTTAGAAATGGATCGAGATTATTATCATATTTTTATTCACTGAGATGAACCTTCAATTGTTGTGTGTGTGAGAGAGAGAGAGAGAGAGAGAGAGAGAAAGAGGGAGAGAGAGAGAGAGGTAAATTAAGAAATTTCAAATGGAAATGGTGAAGGTTTTGAAAGCCAGCTTGGCATATAATTATATACACTGTGCATGATGTCAGTCTGTAAATACTGACAAGTTGAGAAGGTTTGTGTTTTTTTTTTTTTTTTTTTTTTTTTTTTTTTTTTTTTTTTCGATATTTCCTGAATTATTCCTGATTATATACCGGGGTACATAAAAAGTATCTTTTAAGAGTACTTATAATACTCAGTAAAAAGAAAAAATATAGTGAAAATTATGTATGAGATTTAGTTACCACTTTGTTCATCTCGATGATTTGAGTAGAATGAGACTGTTCTGTCTTAAATGTCATGGAACACAATACTGCAGTACATTGACAGCAGACAATCTAAGACCCCATTCCCAGAGATTAGATCGATCTACTTTAGATCGACCTAACTCCCTGGGGGGTTCACGCTAGATAGCTGTCAGCCGAGCGGGCACGAAAGTTAATTACCCCCTTATTGCTTGTAGTAGGCGGGACGGACATTTAAGCCAGATTATCTGACAGTAATCTAGTGAGACTCCCCGCGGGGATAGATCGATCTAAAAGTTCTGGGAATACGCCCTAAGGGTGTTTTAAGTGTGTGTCATGTTTGCTCTGCAGCTAAGTTCTGAAAACCAAGAAAATGGAACCAAGGTCCTCTTCCATTATTCCATGCACCATTATTCAGGCGAAATGCCTGCTTTGAATTCAAAGATCCAAGTTTGTATATGATGTGAAGTCAAAATTTAAATACCAAATAAATATATTAGATATTTCAATAATGTGTTTTTATTTGTTCCTTTTATGGATTACATTTTTATTATTAATAAATACATTTTATTCAGAAAACTCACTCATATCTAATGAAATGCAGATAAAGAAATGTTTGCTTTCAGAAAAATTGATAAGATGGTAGTATTTGTTTATTTGAAAAATAACATGTTAAAGCATATATGCATCTGATTTAAGGTTGCCTGTAAGTTCTGTTAAAGTTCTGTTTAAGCTTTTTAAAATTCTACAATTAATAGCCAATCCTTACAGTTTTTGTTTTTTCATTCAGTCCCTTTTCTTATATTCAATAAAGTATTCAATAAATTTATAAATGCCTCAAATAGATCATTTAAAAGCCGCGTATCTTCTTTCTTGGGGGGGGGGGGGGGGGGGGGAGGGGTTGTCTAAGGGGGAATAATCCAAAACAGTCGGTATAAACCAAACTATATTATGTTTTACTTTGAATTAACTGAGTGTCCCTGTTTGGTAAAAAGTAAGATTCATTTCTAAATTGAATTCTTTTGTCAATATTGTTCCAATGTTGTTTTATTCAGAGTTGTTTATAAAGTTACATAAAATCACAAAATGGACATACTCCTTGCCTTTAATAACAAAAATCTTCTTTAAACGAGGCTTCCGTACGAACAGAGGGTGGGCTATAACATACTGTAAATTACACGTACTTGTTGTGGTGAGAGGTGTTCAGTTTGGACCAAGGTCAGTGAAAGAAGCTTATGACACAGTGCTGCTATTTCCACAATCAGTCCTCATATATAACGCTGACAACGGCAACATTCTGTTGTAAGTACAGTGCAGACGAAGTTTTACAGCTCATTACCATTGAAAATATCGGTCTACACGCTTCCTCTTGTTCCAACGTACTCGTATAATCACCAATCTTATACATGTATATTCTTTCCAACTCCAGGAGGAGGCGTGTTGATCTGTTCATGTAAGTTCATCTATAATTCCATAGTCTATTAAATTGATGACATTCAAAGAGAGTTGGATCGATTTACGTAGACCGATATTTACAATGGGAATGAGCCCATAGTTTCATTGGCCATGGGGACATTATTAGTTACTGGGAAGAACGATACCTTCTCTTAAAAGTCGACAATCAATCCAGAGTTTAGTCTGTTATCAGTAATTTTACAGAGGAAAAGTATCTGCAAAATTAAAAGCAAGAGCCCCAAGGATCAACCGAAGGATCCAAGTTTTTAATATAAATAAATCTGCCGTAGATTCACGGTGTCATTGCAAAGTCTCACTCGGTACTCCAAGCACTATCGGTATCGGCTTTATCAAACGTTTTCCGGGTCAGTTCGAAAATTCAGAAAATGAAAAATTAAAATGAAAATGAAAAATCTAGGAACGGAGATCCCGTGTTTTGTGTAAAATGATTTCCCCTTATTTGAAGGCCCAAGAAGGTCAATGACACATGTAAAAATATACGTTTACTTCAAGAAAAATACACGAAATAAAATCAATGAAACTTTGTTGTTTTTGTTGCTTCATTTTTTATGCATATAAATTGGCTATCGGAAAAAAACATCGTAAAACATTAAAATAAAATGAAATAAAGCAAACGTTTATTATTTCTATAATCTAGTATATTTCTATATCTATTTATCCATGTCATTTCTTGATGTAAACTATATAGGACATGCGTTACTGAAATGTTACTTATTACTACACGTAGGACTTGCATTACTTGGGAGCCTTCGTCCTGCGGACATTGAATCCTTGTAACGTATATGTCCTAGGACTTCCATTCCTAGCAATGCATGCCTTAGGACTTGCATCCTAGGACTGAGTGTCCGGGCGGACTTGCGTTACTAGGACGTGCACTCCTGCCACACCGGTATATGATTTTTTTTTCCTTTTGCTATTTACGAGTGTAATTACTATCAAATATGCACATATGAGATATGCAGATGTAAGATTGGCTTAGCTCTTTCTTTTTTTATCCCGTATTTGACTTTAAAACAGGTGTAACAGGAATGGAAGTCATAGGAATGGGCCTTTGAGCTCCCATATGATTTGTACAGGTTAGGGTTAGTTGTTGAATTGGGGTTATTATATGGGACGAATGTCATCTGTACTAAGTAATGGGAAGCGGTCTACGGTTCCATAGCGGACTTCCATTCCTGTTACACCGGTAAGCCATCTATCATCAATTTTGCAGAAAATAAAGCACGGTGAAAAATACCAAAATAAAGTTTAAATAATGATACAATAAAAAAGACATATTTCAAAATACATGAACGTGTTTATAAACGACTTTACAACTGAGTGTTAAACGTGCCGATCTTCGCCCAAATCAACACAGATGTACACAAATAACAACTGGGTGTATATTTTCACCTTGGCACGAAGCTCGGATCACACTTCTTTTGAAAACGCAAAAAACAAGGTTATTATCTTAAATAACCAAACATAGTTTAATGTAAAGCAAATAAAAAAACGCTGTGTGTCAAATAACTCTTTGTTAAGTAGGAGATAAGCTCTAATAATCATTAACAGTGACAGTGGGGAATGTCGTTTTTTACATGCATGTACGTCACTAGGATGTGTTTATTTGAGATAAGACCGTTAGTATCCGAGTGACGTTAACCCGCTACATAACGGAAATTATAGCGGGTTAACGTCACCCGGATACTAACCCGCTATAACAGAAATTATAGACGCTGCTATTTAACAAGCTAACGTTGATTGGGGCCACAAATAGGTTTTTGCAGCATCAAGGATCTACTACTTGGATATTGTTCTCCCAAACATTGGTATTTCTCGGTTCGCGACGGCAGAAAAAATGAATCTACGTGTTTTCTGTGTTTTGATTATGGTCTACATTTTGAGCGCCGTCATTCACGGGGAGACGTCCTCTCCAGAATATATTTCGCAGATGCAACTCTTGTATCGCACCAACTTACAAATAGAATATGTAGAGAGGGCAATGAGACGTCATTGTCCGGCACTGATAGTAGAGCTGGGTTCTCTGGGAGTGTCACTTAGCCTCCTTAGGAAAAGAAGAACAGCAATGGACCTGGACCAAGTCAGATTGAATGTGGAATTGGCCAAGCACGTGCTGTCAACGCTTAAACTGAAGTATCTGTCCCCGGGGTGTCAGGTAAGTAAAAATATCTGGAAACTCCAGCGATTTCATCAGCCAGCTTCTGTCGTTTCCAGTTTCAGAGATATTTGGCAGTCGAACTTTCCGTTTGCACGTAGACATGTGTTTATATTATTTATGATCAATGCAGCTACATTTTAACATTCTTAATTAGAATGCTGAAAGAAGAGGTTCACGTTTTACGTTGATAGATCATATTGTCACAACATTATGCAGTTCGATTAAGGTTAAGTGGCCTGTTAGCCCAAATCAGATTGAAATACTTTATATAAAACTGGCGAAATGGACACAATTTTTTTATTAAGTTACTTCTACCGGTACATAGAAACTTGGAAGAAACTGAAAAGTACATTACCCTATGCAACTTTGACATGAATGGTTTCCTTAATATCCCTCTTGTGTCATCCAAATTACTAGGCATGCTTTTAACCGCTTAAAATTGAACAAAACTTTATAAATGTTTGCATGTCGCTGATTTTTCAGAATTCAAGTTGTTTGAATTCAAGTTGTCAAAACGGGGGTTCATGCATTAAAGGTCCAGGTGATAACGTTTCATGCGCATGCCCGACGGGATATACTGGCGAGAAGTGTGAGATAAGGGCAGCCCCCGTGGCATGTACATCAACCTGGTTATCAACTTGTAAAGACACGTACGGAACTGGCCGCTGTTCGTGAGTTCAAGATCTCTCTCTCTCTCTCTCTCGTGCACACGCACTCATACAAACAAATGCACATTCGCAAACCACTAATTTTTATATCAAAATTTCATATAGTACCTTATCAATGTATATAGTATAAAGGAACCGTTTCTTGCTTCTTCCCAGATTGGAACCCCCTATGTATGCACTGTATACGTCTAAAATCTCCCACAAAACTGCTTGTTTGGCATACAAATAAATGTCTGTTTTAACTCTGTGATAATTAAGGCGCAACCCGATTACTTGTTGATACACATACAAGATTGATGAGTCCTGGGAAGGGGGGCATGTGGACGCAAATGAATTGTTTTTTTGTTTTTTTTTTCACTGAAACTGATATTAATGCAGATTGAAGAAGAGACGCGTATGCAGTTTTTCTCAGGGTCTAGTGGTGTAAATGTCAGTATTTTGTTCCGTTGTGGGGGCAGCTGCATGTGAACAATGTCTGCAGCAGAAATCTATTCTTAGAATTTGAAATTAGTCCTTCTTTTGCGTTTGGGTTACATTTGAACACGCTTTACACATGTACATTTAGTTTTGGGCAACACTCGGTCACTGGGCAACTCACCACATTGAACGCATTTGTCAGAGATTGATCAAAGGCATTAGAAAACAGATGCACATTAATGACAGACCTAAAGAAGATAAATGTAATACTGACGAAGGACCTGTAATTGAACGATCCAATTTTAAGGTTGGTACCACCCCCAACAAGAAAGATTGCCATGGACCCTGGTCACGTGGTAGCCCACGTGACATGTCAAGCACCTTTGTGATATCACGCAACTTCTTGTGAACGTACGTGAACAGTCCCTCTCTTATTTATGACTTTATCTATCATTTCAGTTTCATCTGTCCGATCGGCTGCATTAATTCAGGCACCGTATGGGGGACGGGGAGTTATACAGGGGTAAGTTATGGTTTGAAAAAAAGGGTGGAAAAGGAATATTTCTGTCTTTTCACATGCAGTCATTACATATAATCCTCAGGTGTTATGTAACACCTGTATTGTCATTAAAACGGATGGATATTCCACATTTTTATACAATTTACGCACAAGTCCATGTTTTAGTTATAAGTTATAACAATAAAAAACTAAAACAGGTCGCATAGAATTAGCAACGCCTTAGTTTATGAACACTATCTGAAATAAAACAGTCAGTATGACATTATGGGGTAACAAATAAATCTCCACTCATTTATTTATTTATTTATCTAAATTGTCCTATGTTGACAGGACTCCAGATTGTGCCGAGCTGCCATTCACGACGGCCGCATACCAGCAGCGGGTGGAGTGGCCACAGTGATAGGTCTAGGACCGTTACAGTCCTTCAGAGGAACAACACAGAACGGGGTGACGACAGCCAGGTAGGAACCTATCATCAGTACAATTATGCTAGTGCTGCTTGTTTATACTGTACATGCATTTTTTATTTTACATGGGGGTGCATGTTTTGAGTTTTTGATTAATTAGAAGCGTTTATGTATGGGAGTTTTTGGAAGAGGTTCGTTAGTGTTGCGATGTTGTGTTAAGTAAGGTACAATTAGAATATATTTTCATTATTATTTAATTCAATATTTGTATGACGCATTTTATGAAATGTAGTAGACAAAAGAAAGAGTTAGTCATTGCGTTGTTAATAAATAAAAATCAAAACAGATATATTTGTCTGTTTTTTAATGTTTTAGTTTAAATGGATTGCTTTCTTTTTCAGCTACGGTAGCTATGGAACTTCCTTCCGTTTCGTCTAAATAACAAGAAAGCATCAGACAATGAGACTTGTAATACCCAAGAATCTCCTTTAATAGTCTGCATTATTCCATGTTTGATGACGTGACGTCAGTTCTAGGCAATCAAGCGTGACGTCTTAATGAATTATCCCTGCATGAGCACTAACGAACTGCACATGCCACGTGTGTCTAAGCTTTGATTCTCTCTCAATTTTCAATTCTCATTTTTTTGTTATCATATTCAGAATAAATACATGCAGCTTATAAGAAGGAGTATGTTTAAATGGCTTTGGCAAAGTCAGATATGATGTTTTATTCAACAGTTTTTTTTTCAACTTCTTCTTACCATTATTATTATCAAATGCAACCCCAGGGTTGGATAAATACATTCTTTGCATCATACATGTAGTTGAATAAAGTCACTAGTGAATAAGAACAGAGGAATATGAAAAGACATATGTGAATAAGTTTAAAATAAAATAACTAAAAAGCAAGGTTAAAATGAAATAAAAGTCAATCAGTCAATTTTGGAACTTGTATATTGCACTTGTTAAAAGTCACTCATTGGTCGTTTTGTTTTAATTTTAGGTCCTTTGAATGTCTTTCATTCAGTAGTTCAAGTTTACTATGTTCACAAGCAGTGTCATATTCAAGATCAGGATAAATTATCTGAAAAGCCTTTTCTAGAGATTTTTCTATTAGGGCAGTCAATTTATTTGTAAACCCGAAGTGCCAGACAGGGGAAGCATATTGTAAAATTAGCCTTATGACCAATAATAAGTTACAACCCAGCGGGCAAATTATGTTGTTTTAACGTTGAAACAACGTTGAGCCATAACGTTGAGAAGACATTGGATAAACGATGGATTTGAAAGTTGTGTCAACCTCAGATAACAACGTTGTATCAACGTCAGAAAACAATGTTATATCAACCCCACCCAGCGGGAAATTAGCCTAGATGTGTTAAGCAGTACAAGAAGTTATAAGTGAAGGCCTTCTCTTTATAACTTCTTGAGCAGTATGTAGGACATGTTTGAAGGCTAAACATATGTAGGGTTTAAATGTATTGCCTTTAAGTTAAAATTTCCAATGTTTATATAGTTCTTTTCTTATATATATATATCAGTGGCGGATCCAGAGATATTTTCTGACAGTCTTCCAAATTATCTTTGTTGCGCCATCCCCCATTTTTTGACCATCTTCCGACAGAAAAATTAGATACCCGTCAATGTAAACTTGAAAATCTTACCGTCTTCCGGAAGACCCAGAAGACGGCCTAAATCCGCCCCTGTATATATATTCCACCAAGAACATTGTACCTGTAACTCAATCCCTGCGTAATGCACCAAGCTTTTTCATTATTATTTCAGTACCAAAGTCATATTAAAACTATGATGCTAAGCATCTTGTAAAATAGCAAATATCTGCGGTACTTATCTAAGTTGTGTACAAGAGAAACCATATTGGATGTTTTCATATATTGCATAGTTTCTTGGTCAATTGTCCCTGGCCAACCCTAAGTACTGATTGCAAGTTAACAAGAATTACTCTGACATATAACTTCTTGACAGAGGTAACGTTGTTTTACTCTTGGCGATGATTTTGTTTATGATTGAAAAAGCGATAAGAAGGGCTTACACTTCCATTGACAGCAGGTCTCACTACATTTATAATAATTACTATACTCAACGCGTCTTGGTAGATTTTGGCAGGCCTAATTACGATATACTAAAATATTCAGTGCTCTTCGCCATTGACCGCATCACAGGTAAAGGGATAGTTGTATACACAGATAGTCTTAACATTCATAACTTTACTTTTCTCTTTAAATTGAACATCATTTCAATTCGCACCCGTCTCCATGGTGTACATTACCAATGTATCCATATACGGCAATGGTCACGGGTCAAAAGAAATGGAAACTGAGCCGGTGCTCGTTTCAAATTAAATGTTTGCCAAATTAACATGATATTTTAAACTTAAAAAAAAATCAATTTCAATGGGATATAATTCCAACACGGCACAGTTATGTATATTTAACATTGCATATCACAGCTGTTGTGGAAAAAATTCAGAATTTTTTAAATGTTTTTGCCACTATTATTTCAGCACCTCTCAGGGATGGGGCATGATTGCTCGGTATTATACAACAAATTCTAAAGTTGAAATCGAGGCTACCGTACGGAAGGTGGTCAGGCATATATTATTATGTAATCTAGGTGAGTATTTTGGTGAGAGGTGTTCAGAAAGGACCGAGGTCAGTAGAAGATGGCGAAGAAAGTCATGTGTCTCATTGCTACAGTTTCCGCGAAATGGTCGAAAATCTGGGACTGAAATTGGCATCGATTTGTTGTAAGTACTGTATAGATGATGGAAGATAGCATTTGTTATTAAGCGTTAATGATATTTGTCAAAAAATTGTGAAATTTGCACGTAAGGCATCATGGGGACATTTTGTCTTGACGTCAACAAAATTTTCACTAAAAAGTCAAAATTCAACTTGACGTTTAAACCTGGCGTTCTTTTTCTGTGATTATTTTCAGATGCAATGCATTTGCCAGTAAACAGGTGGTGAGAGTTTTGCTCCAGCTGCGAACTTGTCTTCCACCTTAAATGATGTGAGGACATTTTGGCAGGTAACTACATTAGTAGGTCCTGATTTGTTTTTAAAATATCCAAAATCCACCTCAGGAAATTCCTACCCGCCAACGTGTACATGTCGTGAATATGTTGTTCTTTTTTTCTAAGGTCTCGTTAATTTGTTTTTACTACACTCCTGTCATATGTTTATTTCTAAAATTTCACTTCCGCGGTGTTATACGTTATCCGAGCCCCTGTATCTTTTTCTAGCTCCCTGAAATATAATTCTAAAGACACAGAACGTTGTTGGGTGACAGTATGATCACGGTGTAGAATAGATATGATATTGTTTGAAAGTGCATGATTGCAGAGAACGTGTTAGCATTGGTCTAATTTTAAAGTTGAAAAGTGGATGTTGAATATCATTAATGAAATCGGTTGCAGTATATTAAAAACTGATTTATTAAAGCAACCCATAGACATAGTTTTGTAAAGTGTTTTTTTTTTATTTCAGTAACTCAGCCGTGCACGAGAAGATTGAATACGTTCTCCATCAGTGACGTCAGACTCGTGTTCCACAGCGGCTGCATCCATGTCAAGATTACATGTCGCATGTCAGAGTTCGTCTGCTAGTAATTTTGCAGGGTTGAAAGTTAATATGAAGTGTAATGTTTACTTTGGGTTGTGAATCGGCTATAGTTATTTTCAAACTATCACAAAGTAGTGTTCAGGAAGAGTACTTTGCTACACGTACATGTAGTAGTGATTTATTTTCGTGTAGGTGTAGCANCATTGTGTCTTCTGATATCTGCAAGAACCCGTGTATGATATCATTGCTCCCTACACTTTGCAAGATTTGAACTCGAACACCAAATTATGAAGGAAACTCCTGCGCTATACAAGCAAATGTGTAAAGTCACAAAATATCCTTGGACGCAGTCAAATTGATCTCAACTCTGAGACGTACAATGTATTTTGACCGAAAATAAGTGAATCTGCAGTATTTCTCAGATCATAATGGCAAACATGATGATAAATTATCTTTTTAACGTCTGAAATCCATAAAATGACCACTTGACTTAAATAAAAACATATAAACTTAATAAAAGTTTATAAATAAGGATTGTTAAGATATGTATTTACGAAAACGCCTAATTCGGAAGAAAAAGTGCAATTTGCGTCAAGGTAAATACTAGTACGTCCGTCTAAATGGATGTGTTGGCTGGGTTTTATATGTAATAAAAAAGTATGGGAACCGTTTACCCGAGGAAAATCAATTTTTTTTTTGGCCAAAAAGAACAGTTGTTATCTTTTTCATAGAGTTCAAAACTTTGCACCCCACTACCCAGTGCCTTCATCTGTGATACTTACACTCTGTGTTTGGGGTGGGGTGTTTTCCTGTCCCTTTTGTTAACACAAAGACACGGTACAGGGGCATTCGTGTATATTTAAAATTTCATATCACAACTGTTGTGGACAAAAAACAGATAACTTTTAATGTTTTTGCCTTTATGATTTCAGCAAACCCGAATCACCTTCCAGGGATGGAGGATGGGGGGGAGGATGGGGGGGGGGGGTCATGTTTCCGCCGTACCATTCAACAAAGACTAGTTGAAATCGAGGCTTCAGTACGGAAGGTGGACAACTGTATATAATCGTTTGCATCAGGTGAGTATTTTGGTGAGAGGTGTTCAGATTGGACCGAGGTCAGTAGAAAATGGAGAAGAAAGCAGCCTTGTGTTTCATTACTACAAATTCTACGAAATGGTCGGAAATCTGGGACTGAAATTGGCATCGATCTGTTGTAAGTACTGTGCATGTAAAGATGATGGAAGATAACATTTGTGAATGATATTTGCCAAAACCAAGGAGTTATAACTCCTTGCCAAAACTGAGCATTTTGGACATAAAACATCATGTCGACATTTTGTCTTGACGTCAACAATATTTTCCCTTAAAAGTCCAAATTCAACTTGACGTTTAAATAGTTAATTTTCTGTTAATTTTTTTCAGATGGAATGCATTTGCTAGTAAATAGATGGTGAGAGGTTTGCTCCAGGAGTGAACGCGTCTTCCGTTTTCAACACTGTCAGGACATTTCGGCAGGTAACTGCATTAGCTTAATTTGTTTTTTAAAAAATTCAAAATCCACCTCAGCAAATCCCTACCCGCCAATGTGCACATGTCGTGACTATGTTGTTCTACTTTCTAAGATCTCATAAATGTTGTTTTTACTACCCTCCTGTCATATGTTTATTTCTAAAATTTCACTTTATACGTAATGCGAGGGTCACTATCTTTTTAGTAGCACCACTGACGTGTGATTCTAAAGACACAGAATGTTGTCACGTTACAGTGTGTACACGGTGTAAAAGAATAGAAATTATATTGTTTGAAAGTGCATGATTACATAAAACGTGTCAGCTCAGTAGGCCTATATGTATACAGTGTATTCGTCTAATTTTAAAGTTGAAAAGTGGTTTGTTGAATATTACTGTCGAAATCGGTTACCGTAAGATTAAAAATTGCTTAATTTAATCGCTCCATAGACATTGCTGACCCATTGCTTTGTAAAAGTGGGTTTATTGTTTAATTTCAGTGACTCAACCGTGCACGAGAAGATTGAATACGTTCTCCATCAAAGACGTCAGACTCGTGTNGCATGTTTACATAAAACGTGTCAGCTCAGTAGGCCTATATGTATACAGTGTATTCGTCTAATTTTAAAGTTGAAAAGTGGTTTGTTGAATATTACTGTCGAAATCGGTTACCGTAAGATTAAAAATTGCTTAATTTAATCGCTCCATAGACATTGCTGACCCATTGCTTTGTAAAAGTGGGTTTATTGTTTAATTTCAGTGACTCAACCGTGCACGAGAAGATTGAATACGTTCTCCATCAAAGACGTCAGACTCGTGTTCCACAGCTGCTACATCTATGTCAAGATTACATGTCGCATGTCAGAGTTCGTCTGCTAGTAAATTTGTAGAGTTGACACTTAATATGAAGTGTAATGTTTGCTTTTGGTTGTGAATCGGCTGTAGTTATTTTCAAACTATTACAAAGTAGTGTTCAGGAAGAGTACTTTGCTACACGTACATGTAGTAGTGGTTTATTTCCATGAAGGTGTTGCAACATAAACAACAATGCACATGTAGGATGGCCGGTTTTCTTTTTGATGGTAACATATTTGTGAGGACAAATCTGCAATTTGGCACTTCTCCATGAACAATTATTTATTTAAAATTGAATTCTAGTGATAGTGTTATAGTGTGTGTTCAGTTAAAGAAACAAAAAAGAACGAGATGTGCATCCACCAAAAATTAATAAATCGCTGTAGTTTAAATAATTATGCTTCAGAAATTGCAGCACTATCAAACTGGCAGAATGTGTCATTAGTATTGCAGAACTGTCCACACGCACTGAAACGATCTTTCTTAAGTTTGTATGTGCGATTGTGACGCATATAAAATAAGCTTCGTATTTCGTGTGTTTGATGTCACAGGCCATATTGTCCGTGATGGGAGGGGGTCAAAAGTCACCCTAGTTTTTAGAAACGAAACCAAGGATTGAAATTTTCCCGAAATTAATATGCATTTGTTATTGCAGTAGTGTTAGGTCACAAAGGAAAATCGTTGTATTACAGAAAATGTTTTATTTTGGAATATCATCTTCATTAAAGGGTCTACGTAGGATTGACATTCATCAGAAACTTTTATACACTGAATTTGACAAAGTCAAATGAATAATTTTAGCTGCCGTTTTTTTTTTAAAAATGAGCACTCGATGAAGGTTTTAAGATTACCAATTTCTGTCAATACACCCGACAAAGAATGCAGTACAATTTTTAAAAAGCCAAATTTACAGAAAAAATTTAAAAACTAAATAGGCATTTTTCGTAAATTTTGGCTAGCAGTTTTCAGCCAATTCTTTAAAAATCCATCGAATTATCGTACAAAATTACTTTTGAATTGTATTTTGCTTCTTTAAACAAAATATGAATAATTGTCATATTCTCAGTATAAAAACTTTATCCAAAAGTGTATAGATCGGCGCTCTGTTAAAGGTTGGCCTTGTGCCTTGTATTTTCTTAGTTGACTTTTTGGTCGCAATCAAAGAGTGATTGAAAAATAATTTCTTATGGGATGTCAGTCCTGCATGTCCTGTTGAGTTATAGTGCTGAGTGTCACTTGATCACTGAACACCGGAGACCAGTCTTAAGTTTATTAGTGTTGTCATAGTAAATGTATATTTTAAGTGAACTAATATTTGCGTAATCTTCTCCGTTTTCTTTGAAAATTATTCTCTAAAATGGCTATGGTTGGAATAAGCTTATAAGTTGGTCATGTCATCATGACGTTTCTGATTCGCAAGCAGTACAAAATTCAGTTTTCGCTCAAAGTTGCGCAATGAAATACATATTTTAGGATTTCATATGAAGAAAAGTTTGTGTTGGACATGAACAATATTTATCGATGAACAAAACTATCAGGAATTTTACAAAATTTGATTATTTTGACTACCTATTTTTGTTTTGTGAACATCAGCAAGACGACATAGTGCTTGCATGTTGGTACATGCGTCGGGATAGGATTAGGTTATATGCATATTGAATTTTCTACACCGTTCACATCAGTGAATTTTGACATTTTTTTTGTTAATTTTGTTGGAATTATGCCTATCATAATATTCCTAAACTCCTTTATAAATCAAAAGGCTACGCCAGCCAAATAGAAATGTTCAAAATGCATAGAATCTCGACATGTTTTAGTTAGATAGAGAACCAGTTTTATTTGTATGTAAAAGCTTAATTCACATTTCATAGTACTTTTTATGAAATTGCCATTAATGTAGAAAAAGGGTATTCCAAGTTTTATATTCTGTGTTATTATGCTGTTACTTTTTGTATTCATTTATGCCATAATAAATGTGCTATATTGTTTTATGAACAAAATAAGTTATTTTTCTTAACTACAGAACCGCCGACTCCTCTTACTATCCTGTGTTCGTAACACTGTTTTGTAGAAGTCAAAATTCTTTATTTGGATTTATTTTTGCAAAAGGTAATTTGCTGGGACCCAGTGGCGCCAGGAATCGAACCTGCAACCTTCTGTCTGAGAGGCAAGCGCGTTACCTACTCCTCTAACTGTTCCCACCCACCCTCCCCAGGTAGACTTTCTTCTTATAGTAACCAAAGGAAATTTTTAAAAAGTCTTTGGGAATTGCTTTTATCCAAGTACGCGAGCAGGAAAGTGAACCCCAACCCGTAGGTACCAATGAACATGAAAATACTACAACGCATTGAATAATTTCGGTATTTCTTTATTAAGACCAAAACAAAATTCCATTCCATATATGCGTGTATATTTAACCATCTAAAAACATCAGTTTGTGGGACTACAATTGTGATTTTTTTAAGTTTTGAAGGTTTGAATATAATAGTATCAACCAAGTTATTGAGATCCTCATTAGAATTCACTAAAAATGTAACAAATTCAATCTATTTGATTTTACAAATAAAACTATCAACTAAACTTTTTATGAAGTATGATCTTATGTTTGATATTAAAGAAAATATTTCGGAAAAGACTTTTTCTTTTAAAAAATAACGCCGGATCTGGTATCCACCCCACCTTTAACATCAGAAAAAATCGAAAAGGAAACCCACTCTGGACTAACATTATCAAGTACACATAATGCTACAAATTCCCTAG